TTGTGTGTCTGTGTGTTTGTGTGTTTGTGTGTTTGTGTGTTTGTGTGTTTGTGTGTGTTTGTGTGTGTGTTTGTGTGTGTGTGTGTGTTTGTTTGTTTTTGTGTGTGCTAACTGTGAGTGTCTGATGATTGTCAAGCATCCTTTCCAGACATGTGTTCGCAGCACTGGGAGGGGTGCGACGGCTTGGAGGATGTACACTTCTTCTCACGCACAACAGCTTTAACGCTCTTGTATATGGTTCGGGCTTCAGATTCCCTTCCCCTAAACCCTAAAGGTCCCAGCACGGTAAGTTCGGGATCCCTGTCGTCGCACGTAAACGCGAAAACACGAGTAAATCTGCCATCCTGAAGCCATATAAACCCCTGCACTCGATGGCTTCAAGCCGTATAGTATAGTATACTAGTATAGTATAGTATGAAATTGTATGAAATATAGCATAGCATCGTATAGCATAGTATAATAGCATACTGAAGCATAGAATATTGAAGTATATAATATAGAACGGCGTGGTATGGTAGGGTATGATATCTTATATCATATATATATATATAATGTACATATGAGCACTTTGAATCCGAAGCGTGAATCCCTAGCTTGTAATGTGGGCCCGAATCCAAATTCGTAGCCCCTTTCAGGGCCGTAACATGAGGATGAGCCTTGCCGAAATCTCAAAAGCTTCTGGTCTGTCTGCGCCCACCTTGTTCCAGGCGTACTCCACCACCCACCTGATATCCTGCGATCCAGGGAGCTCGCCAAGAGCCGCTCTTGAAGAAACTAGCTCAAGGCGCCTTAACAATTAGAACAGGTTCGCTTGGGTTCCTCCAGAAAAGTGTGGCATAACAATATTTCAAGATCATATTCTGAATAACAAAGCATCGAATATTATACAGTGACAGGCTTTTAGAGCTGGTGTGTCTTTTGGATGTGCTCAAAAGACATCGAGACAAACCCAAGTGGATGCTTCTCAAGTAGTGGTTCCTCTCTGAGTACTTACTCCGGGGTGGGGATGTATAGGTCCCTTCTTGTGTGAAAGTACTGCTTATGGTTTGCAGCTGCTCAATATCTTTCACTATAACCACAGATTTTCGGGACCATGCCACTAAATAAACAGATGCCTACAGTACGATGTTCGAAGGTTCACGGTTTAGGCCTTGGCTCAACGCGGTTTGTGCGTTGAAGGGGACATCTTAGTGCGAGTGGAAGCCCCTCATTGACATTGAAGTCCACAGTCCTGAAAACACCAACCATTTCCGAACCCCACACCAAGCCGCGAGCTAAACCGCATAAAACCCGCAAGCCGCTGTAGAAAGCCTTTCAACCCAAAAAACCATCCAGAATGCGCATACAACCTAACCTGACAAGCACCCTAAACCCTAAACCCTAAACCCTGAACCCTGAACCCTAAACCCTAAATCCTAAACCCTAAACCGCAACACACCGAGCCCTGAGGCCTAAGAGCGGAACCCGCAAATTCCCACGGCCCCTTGCTGCCTTGAGGACGGCTTGACCTGTCTCGACGCTGGTCGCCAGGTCCTGCTTCGTCTCTTGCAGCCAAAACAAGAAAGGGGATTTAATGATAGGGCTTAGGGTTTAGGGTTTAGGGTTTAGAGCTTCTAACTGAGGGGCTTATGGCTTATGGAGTTTTACAGGGTTTAAAGGCTGTTGTGGGGCATAGTATGGGGCCTCACTGCTTCAATCAGTAGAATAGTGCCATCATCGGGTTCTCTCAGGGATCTACAATCCTTCCATGGGGGGGTCTGAGGGAAATAGGGACCATACTGATTGGAGAATAGGCTTTCTGTATATCGGGTCCAAAAGGGTTCTGGTTCAGGGTTTAGGGTGTAGAGTTTAGGGTTTCGGTTTTGGGTTTAGGCTTTAGGCTCCAATGCAGGGTTTTCGAGGGTTGGGTATAAGGGCCTGCTTCATCGACATGCAAGATTAAGGGCAGCAAGTCTAAGGTATTTCCAGAGACAGGTGTTTATGTTCAGAACCGGAATTTGACCAAGTACTCCAACCTCCCCAAACCCTAAACCCTAAACCCTAAACACTAAACCTTATTACTCTCTACGGGTCCGTATTGGCATGTACTCGGGTCCTTGAAGAGTTTAAGTTTTGGGTGCTGAGGTTTGGGATTTGGTTTAGGGTTTAGGGTTTAAGGTTTCTGGGTGTAGGACTTAGGGTTTAGAGTTTAGGGTTTATGGTTTAGGGTTTTGGGTTTAAGATTTAGGGTTTAGGGTTCAGGGTTCAGGAGTCAGGGCCTAGGGCTTCAGCTTTTGGATCTTTCAGCAGAGGGCTTGTTCTATTCCGTGGGATTCGGTGCTAGGGGTTATGGTCGGGGCTTTAAGCGATTCCTGTTTTGAGTTTTAGGGTTAACCTGAAACTCTCTTTACCTACAGTTTAGCAGCCCCCCCCCTTAATTCGTAGGTAATTAGAACGCATAAAACTGGGTAATTATAGAGTCCCAGGAAATTTAGGGTTTTGGGGCCTTTAGGGATTCTCGATTAGGACTCTAGCGCGGAGGGGTTCGGAGAGCCGTGCTCCAGTGCCACTCTTGGCGTTCAAAGGGAGGTTCCTTAACATTAGCGGCGCCTTTGCGCGGTTGCTTCTAATGAGGATCCTAGTGTTCCAGGTTCTATATTAGAGCCCTTGTTTTGCCGAACTTGTTTTGCCGAACTCCCAAATTCAAAACAAAACTTAAACTTTCAAGCATCTACCCCTCCCTACGCCTGAGACCTCAGACAAATAAATCCCGGAAAACAACACAAACGCCTTGACAAAACCCATGCTGCTCCTCCCAGGTCTTCCGGGCGGCGGGGATGATGGCGGACACCACCTTTTTGCGGAAGAGCGGGTTAGCGCTTAGGGCTCTGGGCTCTGGGTGTTGGGCTTCGGGTTTAGGGTTTAGGGTGTACAGCTTCGGCGTGTTACAGCGATGGGGGGTTTGGAGGGTATAGTGCTTTCATGGTTCAGGATGATATAAAATGCTGTAAGACTTGGATGCTTGAAGTGGTTATGGTCCTTTTCGGCTTTACAACATGCAGGTTTACGACCTGACCCCAAAGTCAGGACCGACGTAATTTCCAAACTCCACAAACTCTACAACCCTGCACCCAAGACTTATGGGAATTGGATTTATGGTCTCGGGCTCGCCGCTGCTACAAGGACAAGACGCAGAGAGTCTTGACCGCTTAGGGTTTTGTTGGTGCAGAGTCACTTAAGGTTTGGGGGTCTTGGATTTGTGATTTCAGCCCTAAACCCTAAGCCCTAATTCCCCTCCCCTGAGATCAGTGGATCTTCGAAAGGGGTGACATGAAACTCTTCGCAATACCTGTGGGTTGCAGCACGGATACCGATCTCTCCTACCAAGGAACGTCTGGATTTGTTTCCGGTAGCCAGGGTCGGGGGAGAAGACATCCCGAAGTCAAAGGCACATTCTCAAAACTAGGATTTAGGGTTTATTTAGGGGTTTAGGGTTTAGGGTTTAGGGGATAAGGTTTAGGGTTTGGGGTTTAGGGGTTTTAGAGTTTAGGGTTGACGGTCCTGGAGACTGTTGTGGCTGCGACCCCAGACCCTGAAGCCCGCAGCCGTTTCCGCAACCCACAACCCACCAGGCCCAAGCCAAGCTCAGGCTTTAGGGCTTAAGGTTTAGGGTTTAGGGTTTAGGGTTTAAGGTTTAGGTTTTAAGGACTTATAGTCTCTATTGTAGTTCCTTTTTTGGTTCAACCAATTCTATATGTAGGATCCTACAAGGGAACCCCAAGAAGGAACTACAATGGAGACTATAGCTAGGGTAGTAAACACACCCAAGACCTGAACCGACACCCCTGAAGACCCCAGGACCCGAGGAAAAACCTCCCCACCAAAAAAATGATTACCACCAAATCCCACCCTTAAACCCTAAAGGTTTAGGGTTTAGGGTTTAGGGTTTAGGGTAAACCCCACCAAACACTGAACCCTTCTCGTGGAAGATGTCGACCTCCTCCTGGTGGATTTTCCGCTCCGACTGCTCGCCTTCTGGCCGAGCAGTGGCCTTCGCAGCTGGATTTTTTCTGTCGCAGCAAAACGCGAAAACCCTAAACTCATGCCGTTCAAGGCTCACCCTAAACCCTAGACCCTAAACCCTAAACCCTAAACCCTAAACCCCAGACCCTAAACCCTAAACAGGGTTCATCAGACTGGCTAGCTGCTGTTGCTTGGGTGTCGGGTTGTTGAATTCAGGACGGATGGGTTCGGGCAAGCCAAATTGAGGCTTGAGGGTTTAGGGTTTAGGGTGTAGGGGTTTAGGGCTTAGGGTTTAGGGTTTACAGTTTGGGGTTTAGGGGTTTAGGGGTTTAGGGCTCAGGGTTTAGCCATGACATGATGTTTAGAATTAATGAGTTCCTCTATGCACTGTTCGGGTTCCACCCCAACAGCTTGCGTTCTCTATTTGGAGTACGAAAGCACCTGAATAATGAGAATTGGCTTTAGGGGCACATGCTACTATCAATATTTCGGCCAAGCCCTAAACCCTTAACCCCTGAACACGAACCCCCCCCTAAATCCTAAACCCTAAACCCCTAAACCCGAAACCCCTTGTGCTTGCAATCCTTGGTCTTGCTTTGACGGTGAATTGGGGCTTTCAATGCACGGGCCTTCATCCTTCGAATAGGGCTTGGGGAAATACTACTTGAAGGTTCATGGGTAGTTATAAGTAGAGTTATAAGTTCCTAAACCCTAAACCCTAAACCCTAACCCCGAATACGGAGTCACCTCTAACTAGATGTCTCGCACTTATATCTCCATTTATAACTACCCCTGAACCTCCAAGTATGGTTTTCTTATGAGAAGGAACCTCAAGGACTCATATCACTCTAAGTATTCCGAGCCCTCTACTAGGTTTTAGGGTTTAGGGTTTGGGGTTTAGGGTTTAGGGTTTAGGGCTCAGGTTAAACAAGTCTCCTGATCAGTGCAGGGCTCTTGAAACAGGATGGGTTGTTAAGTCCTCCACCCTCCCAGATACCCTTTGTCTGCCTAGATATGATCTACCTGTCTATAAGACCCTTCGAAAACCTGATGAAACCCGACGACACCCAAGGATACCCTACCAAAACCCAGAGGAAACCCTACAAAACCCTGATGAAACCCGATGAAATCCTGTGAAACCGTGGATTGAGGGGTCATGGGAGCCGATGGCATGGCATTTCTGTCGGATCTGCACGGGCTTATGGCTTGGGGCATAGAGGCATTTTGCTGATTTAAGGGGCCTTTAGGGTTCGGATAGTGCACGTAGTTTTAAGTATCGAAGCAAGGCAACCCAACAAAGGAACTTCCCAAACCCTACGCCCTAAACCTCAAAGCCGAAACCCTAAACCCTAAACCTCAAACCCTAAACCCTAAACCCTAAACCCTAAACCCTAAACCCTAAACCCCATGAAGACTGAAAACATGATGTCTTCAACTCGAAACTGCTACCGTGAAGTGAAGGTCGTCACACCCTCAACGTCGGAGGACTAACTAAAGCCCCGAAACCTTCGAACATAAGATCCCTAAATTCGACACCCTAAACTCCATGAAACTTACAGTAGACCCTCAACGAAAGTTTTAAAAACCGGAAACCCTACCCTTCAACTCCTTAACTCTCAAAACCTGAAATCCAAACCTCCTAAAGAAACCTTCAAGGGGATTTTGGGGTCCATAAATCCTTCGAAGCTTCGCCCCAGGACTATGGAGAGGGTCTTAGATTCTAGGGCTTCAAAAGCTTGAGGCTTTCAGGCTGCGGGCTCTCAGGGTTTAGGGCTAAAGGTTTAAGGGTTTAGGGTTTAGGGTTTAGGGTCTAGGGTTTAGGGTCTAGGGTCTAGGGTTTAGGGTTTAGATAGGCTGATGTAGCTTTAGCGCTAGGTTCTAGCGCCTGGGCGCTTTTCAGTTTGAGGGGTGGGCGGGGGTGGGTCGTTTACTAGAGACCTGTGTACGGCATGTTTGAATCACGGATTCTACAGCCCAGGGCCTACGCTGAGGTCCCCTCTATAGGCCTAAACCCTAAACCCTAAACCCTAAACGCTAAGCCCTAAACCCTAAATGCTAAACGCTACGCCCTAAACCCTAAACCCTAAACCTTGTTAGGTTTTCTCAAACTCAAAGCCTCCACCCTGAGCCCTCAGTCTAAGATCCGGCAGACCACTCTAACCCCAAAAGAAATCACAAAATGAAGCCCCCTGCCGCTACCCCCAAAGCCCCTACCCTAAACCCTAAACTCTACATTCCCAAACCCTATACTGGGCTGTAGTCTTGGGGCCCTTAAAAGTATACTGCTATCTTATCCATATGTAAATTTTTACGGTCTCCCAAAGTGCCACCTAGTAAAACATTGGGCCTTCCAAATTCCTGAGAACACGTCGCTGCCCTTCAGCGAGAAGAGCCAAGACCTGGGTGCGCGGGGATTTAGGGTTTAGGGTTTGGAGCTTTGGACCTTCTAACCGTGAAGTGAAGGTCGTCACATCCCGGGGTTTTATGGGTTAGGGTTCAGGGTTTAGGGTTTTGGGATGCTTCAAAGGGCTTTAGAAGGGGCCTTCAGGCTATATAACTCATGAGTCATATGGGGTTTACAAAGGTCTTGAAGATTTTGTAAGGGCTTGTATATCCTTTTATACGGCTTTTTAAAAAATTTTGTCGGCTCCAAAAGGGGCTGCACGAGGGCTAAGCCTTGGGGTATCTGGGGCTCCTGGGCTGAGATGCAGAAGCCCTTTAGATCGCCAGTGGAGCTGCTTTAGCCTGTACTTGTACCTAGGCCCTAAACATCCCTAAGCCCTAAACCCTAAAACCTAAACCCCTAAACCCTAAACCCCTAAACCCCTAAACCCTAAACCCTAAACCCTCTAAACCCTAAGCCCTAAACCCAGAAACCTAAACCCTACAACCTCATCCCAGGTCCTCTCTGCTTTGGGCCCTATGGTAGCCAGGTCGATCAAGGGGTTTGGGGCTCGAGGTCTAGGCAGCGCGGCATTCTGGATGTTCTGATGGGGCCAGCTAGGGCTCATCTGATCTATGGCATCCCCTGCCATGTTCTGAATGCCTTCGTAGTCCTTGTACTTGTACCCAGACATGCATGCTCTCACAGCGCAGTACCTGGTCCATGAGACGTTGGCTGCGTGCTGCACTGGTAGCCACTCCAGGCTGTGCCATTAGTTGTGCCATGATCCATCCTTCACACCCTAAACCCTAAACCCCTAAACCCCTAAACCCCTAAACCCTAAACCTTAAACCCCTAAACCCTAAACCCTAGACCACCTGCCTGCCCATGCCTCCACGCGCTTTCGTCTCTGTTAAGGTCTGATCGTGATTGGCTCGATCTCCAGGATCGTTGCCTCTTCGACGGCGCCTAATGTAGCTTTGCCCTAATAATTAGACTAGGGTTGCGGGGCCCTTTTTACTAGATCTATAATCGGAAACCCCCAAAGTTAATGTTGGTAGAATGAGGCCCCTATAGCAACCTACCTGATTCATCAGCTCTCAATCGGGTTGGGCTTTCCACCCCTAAACCCTAAACCGTGGGTGCAAAAGACCAGAAGGATCAGGGTTGCTGGCTGGAGACTCAGACGAGATCCATTGCAACAGCGAATTCCCTTAAGCCTTGGGGCTTTTAGGGTTTAGGGCTTTAGGGATTTAGGGCTTCAGGGTTCTAGGGTTTAGGGATTAAAGCTTAAGGGGTTAAGGGTTAGGGTTTGGGGCTTTAGGGATTTAGGGCTTCAGGGTTCTAGGGTTTAGGGATCAAAGCTTAAGGGGTTAAGGGTTAGGGTTTGGGGCTTTAGGGATTTAGGGCTTCAGG